ACATACCGTACCTCTTGTTTGCCAGTATTGAACAGATGCTAAGAATGTTGCGAATATATACCAGTTATTTGTATTGAGTACAGAATTCCCGCTGTTTTTCTCATTGAAAATGAATTGAAATATTGGGGACTTATATGCGGAGGAGAAGTGTTCACACCATTCATCTTATTTGAAGCACTTATACTCCATTCTCTCGCAAATTATTGAAACATTTTATACACCAATGATATGTATTTCTTAATATCTATAATCAGTTGCTATCATAACCAGTGGTTATGTAATCATAATAATAGAAAAACTAAAATTGAATACAATATGGAATTTACAAGAATTGCTGTACAAATGGGTCCACAAAACTAATGCTATGTTTAAGGGGGTTTGTGACCATAGTTTGGATTTAAAGAGGGAGAAAGTAGTGATGAATTTATGATTGTGAGCTACAATTTGTAGGCATCCCGTGAATAGGGAATCAGTTTTTAATCATTGGTTTGTTTGTCATCTGATATGTGGCTATATTTAGTGAGTTTGTGGTCTACTCTACGGCTATCATAATAGCAGTAGTAATGCTGGTTATCCTTGGACTGAGTCTACGGTAACATTAATCACATGATTGAAGACATGCCCATCGAATCGAGAAATATGTGGTAATGTGTTATGTGTTGAGTCCCTAATAAATTGCTGCCAATCCTGTTGTCGCCATTCACTCCAGTATTTGCATAATTTCTTAACATTCACTTATTTGAAGCATTTTTTGGTGTTAAAGTGAAATTTCCATAACACTATAACCCTTATAATAGCATCAATGACTCCTTTATTAAATTGTGTACACAATTGCAAACTTTATTTGAATAATAATATAAGCTTGAATATATTTATTGTCTATTTGTTCTTTATTAGAGAGACTAACCAATAGAGGGATTGCAATATCTAATCATTTATTAAAGGAAAGCTTTCAGATAATGCAATCTTATATCTTATTCTTGAGTTAATTCATTATTAATTGAATGAAAGGATAGTTACTTTTTGGAGTCAATTTAGATATAATTGAGAAAATAAAACTATACACAAACTATACATTGTAGTAAAACTTTTCTTAATTAATGTAATTAAATAGTTTATTAACATTTAATTAATTTTTTAATTTTCAGTTAACGTTGATTAAAAGTATTTTATTATAATAATTTAATATATTTAGATAATACTGTATTAGCTGTACGTCTATCCGGCTAAATAAAACCAGTGAGTTGAGCGAAAAAAGTATTTCATATTTATGAATTTTAATAAATATTTGTTTTTACTTCATATCACGATTTAATGTCATGTTTGCTTTTAATTAATTCATATAACAAAAAATAATTCATATAAAATTTAAATAAAAATTTATTAAATTCAATGAAAGTTATATTTATTCATTGAATGCTTTTTATTGTTATTTGCAAATTAAACCAATTATTTTTAGTTAGCTATGACTCCAATTTCAATGATTTAAAAATATATTGAACACATTTTGAACAACATAACACTGAATGTCATAAACATGTTTGAATGTCACGTTAAGTTTGATCTTAAAATTTGTTTAGAAAATGTGAAAATCCAAAGTTATTGAGCGTAATATTTATTAGATTTTGTGACAATAAGTATAAAATGTGTGAAAACTGTGTCCTTTAAAAGTCGTAAAATCAGTCTTTTCTGAGTTATTATTAGAAATTCAATTTAATTTAAAGTTAAACCATAATATAATACAGTACTGTATGTCTTATCGAGTATTGATCGCAATGTCTCGTAGGAGTTGTCCACAAATGTTAGGTTAGGGACCACTATGGAGGGGGTCGATGGTAGGGAGGGCTAATAAATACACACTTTGATGAATTCATTGCAAACTCATATTTAGTGTATTGTAATGATAACCACAGAAATGTTTTTATCAAAAGGATTATCTAATGTTTAATTCACAGCACATATATACGTAATGCATAAGTCATACTTGTATTGACTACACTGTAGTCTTACAGCACCAGTATGTGCAATGATGGGCTTGTTTTGTGTGTCTATGACTTGACTCTACTATGTTTTTGTGGACTACCCTTAGTTTCTCTTATTTTTTGCTCCCAGTGCTCGCCAATGATCTGAGAAACAGATTAGACGCTTATTAATGGCTCGACATTAGATAAACACAATACTAGTAATCGTATTTTCCTCACAAAGAAACAATTTAATCATTAATTTATGTTTTATTTCCTTTTTTGTCTTCACTCTGATCTCAATCTCTAAACCTTTGCTGTAATTCTTGTGTGGTTTTCGAGAAACCTTTTATTTGTGAAAAACATATCAATTTCTATAAAGCAATGCAGAGATATATCTTTGAAACCTTTGCTTTTTGTGGCAAAATTGAATTTTTTGTCCTATTTTTGCCATTAAAGTCAGGAATGGACAGAAATAGGATTTGTTTTTGTGATACTACTTCCCAACTAAGAATATTTGGCATTACTTTCTATAAATAATGAATTTTTCCTGTGTTTGTGTATAAAATAGAGCCCAACCCTAGAATTTCATAGGAATTTATTTGCAACCCATTTCCAGTGTAATATAAAAATGCCTGGCCACCCCTGCCCTGGTGCACTCATATATTTATATTATTTGTATAAATGTTGCCAATGTCTCACATATTTTTATATATTTTTCTCTCATTTTTATGATCAATACCATACAAACCTCACTATTATTGCGAAAACCATAAACCGGGCAAATATGTGGTTTACTCCCAATCTTATAGAGTTTTTGAATTGCTTTGAATTTTTATGTATTTTTGAGCCGTGAAATAAAATTGTGTTCACTATAACTCTCACTCTTTTCTGTACGTCAGCCCCAAATTGATTTAAATGTAATTTTGTTTAGTGTTTCAGAGGTTGTACTCCGACTGTTGGCCTGTTTACTAACGGCTAAAGAAGTGAATGGAAGTAAATAACAGTCAAATTTAGTGCTCAGGGACAGCCAAATGGCACCAATTGGTTGCCATACCGAAGCACTTGTACTTATTGAGCCCTAATCTGACTATAATTTTCAGTCGTCAAAAGGATCTCCAATTGACTTCTACTCCAAACATCTCATACCATTGCAAAGTACTCATTGAAATTGACTTCAAGTGCTCTGCAAAACAAACTTCACGTCTAATGACAATTCAATTGATATTATATTACACTTGATTTGCTCGCATCCTCTGCCTTTTAATTTGTCTCACATTCCTATGAAATGGAGAAATTGTTTTTATTATTTCTTTATTATTTTATTTCATATTTTTGGGTTATTTTCTGAGATTTTTTTGTTTGTTTTGCCTTTTAAAATGAGAATTGCATGAATATTCATATTTTTGATAAAAAAATAAATGTTTTTTAAGTGCTTTGAAACGTTGCTTTTACTTCTCTGCACTCAAAGTGTTATCGATTTCTCAGACTTTGAAACAATTATTATATAAAAAATTTTTTAATAAGAGATTGTTTTGCATTCGTGCGATAAAACCCATTGGAGTCACACTTGTTTTACGTAATATAAGTGCATTTTATTCATTTGTTTGAATTGCTTGAAGAATAATATTTCTCGAGTCCTTAACTCCTGAGAAATACATTTCCATTACATAAATGTCATACAATTGCTTAGCATGTGTTGTATGGCTCGCACTGACACTTCTGTCTACAGTATATCTGTATATCTGTTTTTGGACTCAAACAGTATTGTGGACTCTATTGTCGATTAGTATTGTTTGCCATTCATATCACTCACTCCTTCACTCCATTCCCTTTAAGCCCACAAATGGACACATCTTTCAAATAGTCATACGTGACAAACATTTTGATGACCCAAACGTTGAATTTGAAATTAAACTCGTTTTAATAAATTCATGCGAATTCCTAGTGATAAGAGTAACCAATTGCTTGCCTTTTAATTATTAGTTCAATAATTTTGTTATCGATTTTTGCAATTAATTGCTTTTGTCTTGACTTGAATTCTGAAGACCAATACTAAGCAAACATTGAGAACCAAATAAAAGGAAAACAATGACAAGACATTACTATTAATATAATTGATTCCCTGACAAACAAACAGCAATTGTTATACAATTACATAAAACTAAGTAATCCGAGGAATGGTCTTAAATATACGGTATGTCTCACTTAATGAATGCAGTGTAGAGTAGCTTATGATCAAAGTTTAACTACCGGTAAATCAGATGAAATACTTGTCTTAAATAAGGTTAACGTTTTCGTAAATGTATTAAATGTGACAATTAATTGCAAACTTGGATCTCGTTTTTCTACCAAAAATTTTCCGAAGATATTGCGCGATAGGTATGAGATGTTGAGGAAATGCAACCTTGAATTCAAATGCTATTTATATTAGTCTTGTTTTTACTCTTTATCCGTAAATAACAGTTTGTCTTTTCGTATATAATTGTCAATTAAAGTCATTTTGAACTCATTTTATTGTCATCTCCTCTTATCAATCGTTTCAAGTGTTTTCCAAATACTAATTGATATATAAAGCGACAAATTGTCATAAGTTTTTGATTTGAATTTTGACTTTTATTTGTTGGTGAAACTGATGGTTCGTATAGTACTGAATGATCTCTGAAGAGCTCTCATTAAAAAGCATTACATCTATTATAGCAAACCAATTGTATTGTACGTCTCAAGTCTCCAATCATCGTATAATTCAAACTCCATATAATACCTGATATTATTTTTCAAATTCAATTAGAAATTATCAAAAATCAAGGCTTATATTAACCAGTTTTCTCAACTCAACTCTTATATGAAAGCTATAAATATTTCAATTCACCATTTGATCGATTGGTTCACTCTTTATAACTCGAACAGTGAATACATTTAATAACTTATTGTATAAAACAAGTTATTAACTATTAATTGAGTTAAACGTTTTAAGATTTAATACCACAGTATTTAATTGTATTGATTGATTGATTGATAATCTCATTGTATAACAAAATGTTGAGCCGAATGCAAATAATTCCAACAAAAAACTTGATTTCATCGGTCCGTCACTTGTCTGTCGCCAAACCTGCGGTCAAAAGTGAGTTCAGCGTCGGCTCAAAGTCACAGGAAGTGTTTGATCGGGAGGCCAAGTATGGCTGTCATAACTATCACCCATTGCCAGTGGCACTGGCACGTGGCCAAGGGGTGCACGTGTGGGACGTGGAGGGCAGGCGATATTTTGACTTTTTGTCGGCGTACTCGGCCGTTAACCAGGGTCACTGTCACCCCAGGATCATCGATACCATGAAACAACAGTCAGAGATACTGACGCTCACATCCAGAGCTTTCTATAGCACGGCGTTGGGTGAGTACGAGGAATACATCACCAAATTGTTTGGTTACGACAAAGTGCTGCCAATGAATACTGGGGTCGAGGCGTGCGAGTCGGCCGTCAAGTTGGCCCGAAAGTGGGCCTACACTGTGAAAGGCATTCCCCAGAATCAAGCCACAGTTGTCTTCGCCGACGGCAACTTCTGGGGCCGCACTTTAGCCGCCATTTCCTCATCAACTGATCCCGAGTCGTACGGAGGGTTCGGCCCTTTTATGCCCGGCTTTGAAACCATTCCTTACAATGATTTGAAAGTATTGGAGGAAAAACTGGCTAAAGATCACAAAAATATCGCCGCTTTTATGATCGAACCGATTCAGGGGGAGGCAGGCGTTTTCGTGCCCGACGCCGGGTATCTCAAGGGTGTCCGCGACCTCTGCACCAAATATAACGTGCTTTGGATCGCAGATGAGGTGCAGACAGGTCTGGCCCGCACTGGGAGGATGTTGGCCTGTGATTACGAGAATGTCAGACCAGATATCGTGACTTTAGGAAAGGCATTGTCGGGTGGAGTATACCCCGTGTCCGCTGTATTAGCCGACGACGAGATTATGTTGAGTATCAAACCGGGACAACACGGCTCCACCTACGGAGGCAACCCATTGGCCGTGAAGATTGCCATCACTTCTCTGGAAGTGATTAAAGACGAGAAACTGGTGGAAAACGCGGACAAAATGGGAACTATATTGCGGCGGGAGTTGAATAAATTGCCGAAAGAGGTGGTGAAGATAGTGAGGGGAAAGGGATTACTGAACGCTATAGTGATTGACGCGAAGTACGACGCGTGGGATCTGTGTATGAAGTTTCGCGACAACGGTTTGCTGGCGAAGCCGACACACGGCGACAAAATACGTTTCGCACCCCCGCTCGTCATCAACGAGGCACAGGTGCTCGAGTGCGCCCACATTATCGCCAAAACCATTCAACAACTCTAGCCATGTATCCAATGCCACGCTATGATAGCGCCGATCAATGGACCGATTAATGACATGACTTATCATTCAAATAAATATCTATTACTTTCTCGATATAAGACATGATTTTTCTTTCATTATCTCTCTCTTCCAAACGAAAAACAATATATTCTTTCATTTTTGCCTACTTTTCAAGGCTTTGATTTGTTTTTTCGATTGAAATCTTCAGATTTGTAACCTTTTGACTCGTGATTTGCTATACTTTTTGCTGATTAATGCAGATTTAAACATGTCTTTGATTATCAATCGTATGATTAAAATTGGGGGTTATCTCAGATATATAGTCATTATAATCATAATTAATGATTTATGAATAGTTAGATTGTTTGTCAAAGTTATAGCCAACTCTACCTTTACTGTCAAGTGTGAGCTGTGGTGTTAGGCTATCCCACAACAGTGAACGTCATACCCAATGCTTTTCAATGTTAGCCGCTGTGACTAGCGTTGAAATATTTTTGCAAATATTTCTCTCCTTTTATAATAATTGATTGACTTTTCGATAACATTTGAAACAATGAGTGGTTGTGTAACACATGAAATGATGAGTTTTGCGATGTGTTTGCAAATAACTATTGATTGGGAATAGGGTTGTATCGGGCAGTGAATGCTCGCTCTGCAATATGTGTTGATACAACACTAGCGTAATGGTTCAGGTATGCTGTCGACTGGATGCTCGCGTTTCTATGGAAAACAAAATGGTCTCTGCATATGCCCAACGCTTACAACTCAAGTGTTATTGACTTGAAAACTATTTGAATTGAGAAAACATTACATATTATGTGCAGTAGTACTGTAATACTCGGCAGTAGTGTTGTGTCAATGTGTATACAATTATGACATAATTAGCGATACTATAGACAAGTGATGCTTACGATGAATGTATTGGTTGTGTATTGCGAGTGTTGTGTCAATTCATAGCGTTATCTCATTAGTTGGACATCACTTGAGCTCATCATTGGCTGACACAACATGACTGACCCCTCGTAT